GATCCTTGTAAAACAGGTGTTGGAAGCTTCATTATGCTAGATCCCATGACAGCAGTGATAGACAGTGATGAGGAATGATTATACTTTTCATTAACGACTACTGCTATTTAGGAAAACTTCTTGTTTCCCCAGTGAGTGTGTAAAGGGTGGAGCACTGGGTTGATTTAGTCCCTCACCTCTTCATCGGCCACACTCATCGTGACAGATCTGCCCTGGCTGTTATGGTTCCTAATGGCATCACACGGCTGTGACATGCAGACCAAACCTTCAGTTCCTTGTCACACTGGCTTTGCCTCAAGCATTTGGTAGCCTCACGTGGCTGGCACAAATGTGGAACATTGCAATCACTGCAAAACATTCCCTGACACAGGCAAATGAAATTCCCTCCATCGTATATAAGATTCTACACAATTGCAGCGTCTCTTCTAAATGGACTGTCACTGCTTATGCCCTGGACCATCGAAATCGATTGGTCACTGCGTCTTATCCTCAGGATGAACACCTGAAAAATGTAAACGAAGAGCCGACTGCCTTAGGCTGTTGAGAAAATGCACTCAGTACCTCCAAGGCTGGCAGTGCAGGTGATATTTTGAATGTTGCTGGTGGCACCTGATACTCCCGGGCTCCCTGGGGGTTTGCAGGCAGCAGGAGCTCCTGTGAAATAATGCTGAGGCTCCATCTTCTCATTGAAGAAATGGCCATTCCTATCTGGCAAGTGTTGCTCTCCATTTCTGTCAAGGCCGGCAAGGACTGTGGATGGAATAATCCCTGCCCCAGACAAAAGTGATGAGGGTAAAAGCCCCGCTTGGTTTGCAATGAGCTTGGATACTAAAAGCCCCGCTTGGTTCGCATTGAACTTGATGCTAATATGGGCATGTCGGTCAGGATACCCTACATGATGCTGCCGTGAAGAACAGCCTCTACGGCTCACCACCTAAGATGGCAAGAGTCAAGTTCACGTTCATGCAAGTCCTCTGGGGCCCACGTGAGTGTCCAGAGTTGTCTTTGTTTCCCACCATCTGGGATGCCTTCCATTGCAGCCTGAAACCACCTCGCCCATCACTGTAGCCAGTCACAGAAGATTTCTAGAATGCTCTACACCACCAGAAATGTGCTCCAGCTTGGAGGTGACACAGCCACCACTCCTCACAACCTGATGGCTGGCACTAGGCACAGTGCCCTTCCCGGATGAAAGTGGGGGTCAGGGGAGTGCTGTCCTCCTTTCTTGGTTAAAAATGCAATTCTCGCATGGTAGGCAAGGCAGCTGGCTTGAACTTGTTTCTTTAGGTCCTTGAGATGCACTGTTAAATCATTTATTGGTGCCTTTCCAGTTTCTTGATGTTGGCATTAATTGCTATAAATTTTCTTCTTAACGCTGCTTTTGCTGTATCCCCTATATTTTGATATGCTGTATCGTCATCTGCCTTTGTTTCTAGGGGTGTTTTATTTTCTTATGATTTCTTCTATGAAGAAACCATTCAGGTTTGTGTTGTTCAGTCTCCATGCGTTTGCACATTTTCTGGGGTTTCTTAAGTTGTTAATTTCTAGCTTCATTCCATGTGTGTTTTATAGCTGTGGGATGACGTGTTCTGTAGATACCACTTAGGTCCATTTGATCCATAGTGTAGATGAGTTCTCTTGTTTCTTTGCCATTTTTTTGTCTAGTTGATCTGTGCATTGACAAAAGTGGGGTGTTGAAGTCCTCCATTATTATTGCATTGGAGAATTTCTCTCCTTTTAGATCCACTAATATTTATTTGAATAGCCAGGCACCTTGGCATAGGGTACAAATACATTTACTATAGTCACGCATATTCCTATTGAACTGGTCCCCTAATCTTTACATAGTGCCCTTCTTTGTCCTTTTAACAGCTTTTTTTTTAAAGTCTATTTTGTCTGATATTAGGATGGCTGATTATTTTTGCTTTCTGTTAGCCTGGAATATTTTTTTCTATCCTTTTACTTTCAGTCTGTGTTGATGAGGAATTTCTTGAAGGCAGTAGGTAGACGGGTACAGGTTTGTAATACATTCAGTCAGTCTGTATCTCTTTTTTTTTTTTTTTTTTTGACAGGCAGAGTGGACAGTGAGAGAGAGACAGAGAGAAAGGTCTTCCTTTTTGCCGTTGGTTCACCCTCCAATGGCTGCCGCGGCCGGCGCACCGCACTGATCCGATGGCAGGAGCCAGGAGAGAGGAGCATTAGAATATTCGATTGTTTGGAGCATGGCAGGATTAGGAGAAGGGCGGCAGTGTTGGGCCCCAGCTGTGGGTTGATGCAGTCACACTAAGAAGCCTGAAGCCAGTCCTGGCCATAGGGACCGGGCAGGCTGCTGCACGTTGAGAAGCAGAGGGTTCCATGCCCACTGGGAGCAGCAGGCAGGGCACCAGTCGGGATAGAGCCCTCACGGTCTTGGCGTGGAGCTCCCATCCAGCTGACTCTCAGGAGACCTCTTGGAAGCTACTGTGCATTCCTGGACGCTCGGGGAGGCTCCCGCAGGTGCCTCATCCTGCAGCAGCTGCTCTCTGTATGTGGCCTCCCAGTGTGCAGTGTCGCTTTCTTCTGGGAGCTTGTTATACATGCATCGTCTCAGACCTCTAGAAGCTTCGTCAAGAGCTCCCTCAAATCTCAAGTCCAGCCATGCACCTGCACACAAATGCCTCCACCTTCCAAATCCCACACAAAGGCCTCTCACTGGCCAAGTCTACCTGGGAACCTTATGGAGAATGGAGCACAGGGAAAGGGGGTTCTCCTCTTCTGAAATTCAGAGGAGGCTCAAAGAGGGTGGAACTAACAGTAGGTGGTTGAAGAATGACTACGGACAGCCTGGAAATGCTCCAGAGGTGGCAGGGTCTTTTAGTCATGGGTGTTGGCCATTGATAACAGCAAGACTTCTGCAGGTGCTTCCAGCTCGAAGATCAGGTAATCACTTCGTTCCTTCCATTTGCCCACTTAGATAGTGCCTTATTGGATTTTGTCTAAATGGTCTTGGATTTGCAGGCAATAGATTTAGTGGCTGCTCTTGGTGATGTGCGATATTCAGTTACTGAGGCAATTACATTAGCTTATAGTCCTCAATAGGTTAAGTTGCAATTTCCGAGCTAGGGCAGGTCCCTTCCTGAAATGTGCAAAATTCATTTCCAACATGTCCGCGGTTTTTCTGCACGGTATTTTAAGCCACAGAGAAAGGTAAATAATATTTAAGGGACTTGTAAACCAAGTGTGTGACCATTCTGCCCAATTCCTGGTTTTATTTAATGAGCTTTGCACCGTGGGATAAGAGCTGTCCCCGAAGGGCTTCAATCAGCAAGTCGATTGAACAGAAACACAGACTGGAAATTGGTTTTTAACTGAAATCATACTGCCATTGCTTTTTATGGAACCCATAATTTCTGGTAGAGAGAAGGCATATAGAAAACTGTTATTATAGAAATGCCTTCCGGGATTTGACCAGCCACATTTGGATAGTGAATGAATACTTGCAGGGTTGATTTGTGTGCTAATGTTGGCCATGGAAGATGAAAAGCCTGCCCTGTGGTTCTTCCTGGCTTGGTTAGTTCCCTGTGCCACCTTTCCGATCCATCATGGCCTTATTTATCTATTTGTCATCTTGAAGTCAGAAGAAGATCTCATTTGTTTCATATGTATCCTCAGGGGTGAGCTTATCTTTGAAAATGACAGAGAGATCCAAGGGGTCCCCAAAAAGCTCAAGTACAGCGTATCACAGAAAAACTACACATGGTTCATAAAAACTTTTTGCAGTGAAATAAGCTTATCTTCACATTTCCCTTTCTCATGAACTGTAAAAATATTTATTGTAAAGGCATAGTTACACAGAGTGGGAGACACACACAGAGAGAGAGAGAGAGAGAGATGGAGAGATGGAGACTCTTATATACCCACTGATTCACTCCACAGGTGTCCTCAACAGCTGGGGCTGGGCCAGGACGAGGCCAGGAGCCTGGCACTCCACACAGGCCTCCCATGTGTGTGCAGGGGCCCAAGCACTCAGGCCATCTTTTGGTGCTTTCCCAGGTGCATTGGCAGGGAGCTGGATCAGAAGTGGAGCAGCTGGGACTGCAGGTGGTGCTCATGTGGGATGCTGGCATTGCAGACGGTGGCTTAACCCGCCACACCACAGGGCTGGCCCCTGTGCACTTTCTAAAGTTCTCTTTCCTGGGAAACAGGTCGAAAAGGAAGACTAACCACTGGCTGTTTTTCTCTGGGTGACTGAAATGAAACAATTATGTGCAGCTAGTTTTTCGGGCTGCAGGAGGCTTGGGAAGTCAAAGGGGGAAGGGGAACTGGGCCGGAGCATACACAGCTGATTTCACATGTCCCTGTGCACTGGTGACCCCAGCATTGCGAAGCTCTGGATGCAAGCTTCCGTCTTCCTGCCGCACATCTTCCAGAGATAACAGCCTTGGTCGGTGTCAGACCAAATTAGGTGGGCTGCCTGCTGCTGGCAGGGTGGCTTCCACCTTCTGGGGGTAGGAGCATCGTTTGAGGACAGCATCGGGGCTTAATGACGAAGCTCTTACAAGACCCTGAGTACAGAACACATTTAGCAAATGCTTGGTGGTTATAGAATCCTGGTGACAAATGCAGCCGACAGGGAGGAGCTGATGAGGGAGTGGAGAGTCGGATTTGTAGACTGTGGGTGGGAACGAGGACTCATTACCCAAAGCTGGTGGGAGCCAAGAGCCTGCAGTTGGAGAAGGAGAAAGCCTTGTGGTGCATTGGCAGGAAGTCTCGTGCTACCCACTGTGACTTCACACCCTGCCTCGGCCAAGTGGCAGTGATTGAACAACTTAACTCTCAGCTGGAACGTGAGGCTGATAGCACGTAACGTGGCAGGTTTCTGAGAGGCCTGACGCTGGTGAGCCTCTGGAGTGCCTGCAGGGAGGGCTGGGACTGAGAGCCCTGGCCGCGTGGTTGACATGCTCATTCTCTCCCCCTCTCTCCTTTCTCTCTCTCTTTCTTTTTCTAAATTTTAAAAACTGTTTGATCACCAGTGTTTATGAAAGCAGACATAGGGAGAGAACCAGGTCTGGGGACACACGCGTGGTCTTAATACAGCAAATGTCTATCCTGTCCTTACCATGTGCGCTTTTTTAATTCTTGTGCGCAATAAAGGGTTCTCCTGCTTTACTTCTCGGGTTCCTCGGGACAACTCTGGGGAGTTCGGGATAACTTTGAGCTCCAGTTTGCAAATAAGGAAACCAAGGCCAGAGGCCCTCCACTTGCAGGGAAGCTAGAAGTGGAAACTGGATTTTTTTTCTGGTGCCAAATCCTTTGCTAGTTCTTCCACTTCAGCAAGCCCTGTGCGAGAAAGCACCTGTGTTGTACACAGCCGAGGCACAAGCAAGTCCCATTTCCCCTCCTCTACTTGTAAAGCTCCTTAAAATTTTGTAAAACTTGAAATTTCCAATGCTGGAAAGCATAACTTCGAGACTGCCTGTGGGTTTAATTTCTTCAGTGATTCAGTTCTTTAAGCTAGGGCTGTATCTGATTCTCCTGGTGTGCCCAGTGTCTGGCACACAGGAGGTGCTCAGTACAGGTTTGTAGCCTTGTTGGAGGTGACAGTGTGAATGCAGCAGAGTCAAAAGCTTCCTTTAATTAAAGCAAAAGAGAACTAAAAGCATTGTTGGGCGTATTGTTTTGCAGCCAGCATGGGGGCTAACAAGACAGGAAGCACTCATCTGAGAGTAATCTGAGTTGCTCACCCCACTGAGAGTGTTAATTATGTTTTTAAAAGGAGGCAGGAGCCTGGCTGCTTTGGCACAAAGCCGGGAGGACAAGGAAGGCCCAGGGAAGGAAGGCCAAGTCCTTTCTCCCTCACACCCCTCTGTTGTGGGGATTGATGCTGCAGGTGCCCGCCCTGCTGAGGCCTGTTTTTTTTCATTGTTCATCTGACATTCAATTTTTTTTTCTAAAGAAACCTTTTATTTAATGAGTATAAATTTCATAAGTACAACTTGAGGAACATAGTGATTCGTCCCACCGTACCTTCGCCCCCCCCCTGCCTCATCCTGACTTTCCCATTCCTAAATCCATTCTTCAACAAAAATGCTGACTTAAATACTTGAATTTATGAAATGCAACTCTACACTACACAATAATTTTCATAACTTGCATACACACACACACAATATAAAAAACTGTTTAAGAAGTTTTGCAGTTAATTCAACTCATTGAGGACAGAGGTCCTGCATGGGGAGTTAGTACACAGTGAATCCTGTTGTCAATTTAACTATTAACACTATTATATATGATGTCAGTGATCACTGGAGGCTCTTGACATGAGCTGCCAAATCTACGGAATCTTTTGAGTCCACAAACTCCGTCAGTATTTAGACAAGGCCATAAGCAAAGTGGAAGTCCTCTTCTCCCTTCAGAGAAAAGTACCTCCTTCTTTGATGGTCCCTTCTTTCTATTGGGATCTCTCTCACAGAGATCCTTCACATAGCTACAGTATCTTGGCTTTCTGTGCCTGAAATGCTCTAATGAGCTTGTGTCTGATAATAACAACAGATAGAATTAAAAAGGAAAGAATGTTCCAACATGGGAAGCAGTCCACACAGCAGATGCACAGAATGACAATCGCTCTAAATAGAACTCTGACCTCAGAATCAGCCCTTAAGGAATTCTGGTCTGGCTGAAAAGCATCTTCTCACCTCTGCTTATGGGCTTGTCCAATCCTGCCCCAGCTGAAGTCTTCCACATTCTCTGAGTTTTGCTTTGTCCACAGCCTCTCACTACCCTCACACAATCTCTTTAGGAAATGCAGATCAATTCAATGTATTTCTAAGGTGAATTTTCAGAGGCACTGTGTCCATTATAATGTATTTAATCTTGGACTCAACAGCTGCACTTTGAGCAATCTTTCCTACAGAACTTCTCCTGTAAGAAAGTCAAATGTGTATGTTGTATAGATGTGTAGTCTCATGTATAGTATATATGTGAATAGGCTTATGTGTAGTAATAACAATTAGAAATAGCTCTACGCTTCATCAGTGAAAGATTGTTTAAGTCTCAGTATAGCCACTTAAATCGCTGTCAAAATGAGTAACACAGGTCTCTGCAGTGACACCCCTGGGTCGTGTTCAAAACGAACGGTGCAGAATAATGTATGTTGTAAGACCCAATTTTATGGATGGCAAAGCCTAGAAGGATGTGTGACATCCATCAACATTCATGTATTCAGTGTACATTACATGCTAGGAATTGCTTAAAGTTTGCAGAAGGGGAATGAACAATCCATGGGATAAATAGGAAAGCTACCTCATTTGCTAAAAGAAATTAAGCACTGGGGGGAAATAGCACAATGGGCAGTGATGGCCTTGGAGACTGAGAGTGACAGGTCCTGGAGGAAGGCACAGGGACTTTGCTTTCTATTTGATTAATTTCAGTGTTGCTCCGATGAGTAGCTCTGGTTTTCATTATTATTTTTAAAAAATTAATGTATTTATTTGAAAATCAGAGTTACATAGTGAGGGAAGAAGAGGCAGAGAGAGAGAGAGGTCTTCCATCTGCTAGTTCACTCTTCAATTGGCTTTGATGGCCGGAGCTGCACTGATCCAAAGCCAGGAACCAGGAGCTGCTTCTGGGTCTCCCACACGGATGCAGGGGCCCAAGCACTTGCTCCATCTTCTGCTGCTTTCCCAGGTGTGTTAGCAGGCAGCTGGATCAGAAGTGGAGCAGCTGGGACTCGAACCTGCACCCATGTAAGAGGCTGGCTCTGCAGGTGGGGGCTTAGCCTACTGTGCCACAGCGCTGGCCCCTCTCTTTCACTTTTAAATACTTGGGAATTTTTTTTCCAGCTTAAAAACAAAGTCTTCTTTTGTCTTCCTGTTGTGTCTGATTCCAGGCCAGTGTTACTCCTTCTCTTTGCACCAAGTCCTGTTCTGTAGAAGGCATTGTTAAGGGTCGGAAGAGATAAGGCACAGTCTAGGAGAAAATACATACAAGACACTTATGTGATAAAGAATTGGTAACTCAAGTACATAAAGAATTCTTAATACCCAACAATTACTAAGCAAACAACTCAATTTAAAATGGGCAAACGGTCTGAGCAGACCCCCACCAAAAGAAGGTATATATATAGAAAATGAGTGTATGAGCAGTTTCTCAATGTCACATATCATTAGGGGCTTGCAAAAGTAAATGTGTCTTAATCTAAAAAAAAATTAATTAAAAGCCTGATCAAAAATGATGTCAGCCAAAATAGAATGAGAATGGCTGAGAGCTCTCTCTCATCTGACACACCCCAACATTAGCAAACAGTGCCAGAATCAATCTTATCAGGACTGTGAAAAAGACGTCCAAGGCTTACAGCAACCAAATAAATGCCTATGAAAGAGAAAAGGGGACAGCACAGGAGGTCTTTGTGTTTTGCCCCTCTCGTGTTTTCTCTCCCTCCATGGCACGGTGGACTGCCTTTTGACTTGTCTCCCTTGGAAGTAAACTCCATCTGGGTGGTGCAGCTGCCTGGCCCTAAAAAAACATCAGACGCTCCATGACCAAGCCATTGCTGTCTCCAGTAGTGGACACGCTGGGATCCTGGGGGGAAAAGCCATGATATCTTTGATAGAAAATAGGGGCTTTAAAAGCTACTGCATACACGGTGAGCACAGGAAGACACACACACACTCAGGACAGGATGCATGGTTAAAGAAGACCTGAGAAGACCCTGAGTATCCTCTGGCTGGTCGTCAGGGTCAGAGAAGCAGGACAAGAATGCTAAGGCAGAGCTGTAAGAAACCTGACCGTACTGCAGAGCAATGCACCATACAAAGTCAGTTTGCAAAGACCTGGAGTAGGCTTCCATTTTTTCCTCTTTTTTTTTTTTCCTTTATTTCCCTTGCCTTTTTCTTTCTCTTTGCACATGCAAATACCAAAACTGTGGAGGAAAAGTGAAAAATAGAATGAAGAAATATTGATCTAAAACTTCCCAAATTTGATTTAAAAATGTACACATCTAAGAAACTCAGTTAACTGCAAGTAGGGTGAATTCAAAGATGGCCGTTGTGAGATGCACCAAAGAGAGCCTGCACGGTACAGTAGAGAGTTGACTCCCAGCACGCACAGGGTCTTCTACAGGGTTAATGGCCAGTTTCTCAGCAGAAGTCATGAATGCCAGAGGCCGTGGGGTGACATGGGAACCTCAACGATTTATGGGAAATGGAATGAAAGGTGAGTTTATTTTGCTACAAACGTCTTTGGAAGCCTTTGCATAGTTTTCCGTAATGTGTGTTTTCCAGGCATTATTTGCAGAATTCTCATTTAAATTGCATAAAGGGAAAAAATAAAAATTCTCTCTCTGGAAGGAGGACCTTTCAAGGATGAAGGAGAAAGGAAGACATCCCCAGAAAAATACAAGACCAAGGAGTTCATCGCCTGCAGGCCCAGCTATGAGAAAGGCTCAAGAAATCTTTCTGGCAGGCAGTAGCTCAAAGCTGTCTGAAGAAATAAAGAGTAGTGGTGAAAGTGACTGCATTGGTAAGTATAAACTCTAGTATTTCATTGGTAGTTTGTGAATCCACTTTTTCCCTTTATCATTTAAAAGACAACTACAAAAACACAGTAATTATGAATGTATCTTAATGTATAAGCAATATATGAAAGGCAAAGTTACAGAGAGATAGGGAAAGCAAGACAGATCCTCCACCTGCTGGTCATTCACCAAAGGGCCGTAATGGTTGAGACTGGGCCAGGACGAAACCAGGAGCCAGGGACTCCATCCAGGTCTCCCGCTTCCGCTGCTTTCCCAGGCACAGGAGCCGGAAGGGGAGCAGCTGGGTCTGGACTCCTGCATCGCAGACTCTGGTTGATCTGTGCCACAGGGATGGCCCCAGGGTCAGAGCCTTCTCTCTGATAAAGGGGGTGGGACAGAGGAGTTCTGTGCCCCTGCGTGTCCCTTAGCATGCGTCAGGAGGCCACAGAGGTGCCTGTGACGGGGGAGTTCCCATGCCCTGCTGCGGTCCACAGAGGCACCCTCGGGTCTCCTGATCCTGAGATCCCTGCATTGGGATCTCCTGAAGCCTGGAGTGGGATGACGTCTCGGGGAGTGCAGAGACTCCTCCTCGGGGCTGGCTGGCTTCCAGGGCTCTGCCTTCAGATGCCTCTTGTTTCCCTTAGATTTTCTCCCCTGACATAAACCTCGCCCCAGACTCGCAGGCAGAGGCCATGGCATGGACATGCTTAGCTAGCATCTGAAGCAGCTCTACGAATCCGTAAATCCCTTCCGGCTCAAGCAACTCGCAATTTTTTTTTTTTTTTAAGTTAGAGAAAGCGCTCCTGCTTGCTGGTTCACTCCCCAGATGCCCCCAGTGGCCCATAGCAGCCAGCTGGGTTGGATCCAGGAGCCAGGAACTCAATCCAGGTCTCCCACGTGGGAGGCAGGTCCCAGTCACTTGAGCCGCCCCCTGCTGCCTTCAGGGTGCGCATGAGCAGGAAGCTGGACTCAAGGGTGAAGCGGGGAATTGAATCCAGGCTCTCTGATGGGGGATGTAGGTGTGTAGCCAGCATCTTAATTGCAGGGCAAAATGTCCCATCCCTCCAACAAAATTTTCCCAAGTTTCTACACATAAATATTAGTAATTGGTTCAGTCTGTATTTGTTATTTTGAAGTTTAACCTTTAGTTTGCATTACCTGTCAGTAGGTTGCAAAAATGCTAATTTTGTTCTTTTATTTTCTGACCAGAAGCCATCTATTACATTCTAGCTGGCGACAGAAAACGCTGAACAATAAAAGGTAAAGCTGCCGTTATCAAAGCAAGAATAATGGTTTTAAAATATGCATTATTGACTTCTATAGTTGACTGAAATTGGGTATCCCAGGCATGAAATCGCCAAATGAACAAAGCGTCCTTGACTTTCACTAAAATTAAAAAGCAGAAATTCCGACTGCTTTGTGCATTGTCCCTCCAATCCAATAATACATCTGCTTTATTCCTTTTGTTTGAAAAGCTGGAAGATACCTCAGCTGAGCATGCAACCCTGAAATTATTATTGTTCACTCCATATGTAATGATGCATAAAGTTAAAACACCCTGGGACTGGTGCTGTGGAGAGCAGGGTAAGCCACTGTCTGCAGCACCGGCATCCCATAGGGGTGCCGGTTTGAGTCCTGGCTGCTCCTCTTCCAGTCCTGCTCCCTGCTAATGCACCTTGGAAAGCAGTGGAAGATGCCTCTAAGTACTTGGGCCCCTGCATCCACATAGGAGACACGGTTGAAGCTTTTGGCTTCTGGCTTTGTCCTGGCCCAGCCCTGGCCATTGCAACCATTGGGGGGATGAACCAGCAAATGGAAGATCTATCCCTCTCTCTGTGTAACTCTGCCTTTCAAATAAACTAATAAATCTTTTACAAAGAAACAAGTGGAGACTTGGTTAAGGATGCTGTTGTGTGTCAAACGGTTATCAGACTGAAGTCCCGGGCTGCACAGCTGGATCCCTTTCTTAGAGGGACAGGTTGTAGTGTGTGGTCTTTGTTCACAGTTAGCTACGAAGGCAAGAGTGGTGTGCTCAACTGGTGACATTCCCTTTCTCCTTTGAAACTAATGTCAATAGCTAGCCAACATTTCTCGGTGCAGGTGTAGTGAATTCTATTCACAATTATTTTCTACTTTCTTCTCTGTAGCCTTGGTATGTTTCCTTGCCTCATCGACATTGAGGTTGGCCATGGACATTTCTTTGGTTGAAGGAATTCATTTGAGTGGGAAGCTTTAAGGCACCTGGTTCAGTATCTCTCCTTCTAGGCCTTCATCAAGAGTCTGGAATGTTCCAGGCTGTGGGTTTTTTCTTCACCCTGGGGTCTGGCCTGAGAAGCCACATGGAGCTGTGCCTTGCAGAGTCAGGACTGATGGCAGATGCCTTGGTTCCTGAGTAAGCAATGCGTGTTTATTCTGGAAATCAGAGATGTTGGCCTGTTTGTTTCTTGGCAAACGCTGATGATCACCGGCAGAGGAAGACTTCTCTTCTCCTTGCCAGTATTGCAGTGTTTACAGAACACAGTGCCTGAGAGGTGGGCTCACTCAGAGAGGTGAGTCCTTGGCCACAGGGCGTGGGGACTTCCTTTCATTCGGGCATCCCAGCATTTAGCCCAGGGTAAGACCAATGAATGCTTGATGAATAACCAGTTATCTTCTGCTGCACGTTGCATTTCCTGCCCCTCATAGGGACTGCTTTAACTCCCCATGGATTCTCCTCAGGGTCTCTCTTGATCTTTATATTCTGTAACATTTTTCAAAAGATTTATTTTATTTATTTGAGAGGTCTTGCATCTGTTGGTTCACTCCCCAAATGGCTGCAATGGCTGGAGCTGCACCAGATGAAGCCAGGAGCCTCTTCCAGGTCTCCCACGTGGGTGCAGGTGCTCAAGGATTTGGGCCGTCTTCCACTGCTTTCCCAGGTGCATTAGTAGGGAACAGGACTGGAAGTGGAGCAGCCGGGACTGGAACCGGTGTCCATATTGGATTCTGGTGCTGCAGGCTGTGGGTTAGCCTTCTTTGCAACAACGCTGGTTCCATTCTATAACATCTTAAAGTAGCACTTGTAAAAAAGGAAAGCGTATACAGAAATAATACTATGAAAAACAGTAGTAGCATATATACATGCAGTCATTTGAAGCTGACAGACCCTGGGCTACTGTGTCTCTCATTTAAATTTCACAAACAAAACCACGCACTATTTTTTCTTTGTTTTTGCACGGAAGGCAGACTAAGCTCTAAGGTCTGCAGCTGGTGGATAGTTAAATTCAGGGTTCTCAGTTCAGTTCTCTGATTAGAGAATTGAATTCTGAGACCATTGTCTCTTCATGTACTGTGCATCAGTTAAGTGGAATCGGAAGCCTAAAGGACTTGATGTTCCATGTTGTCCTTGGAGCAGCTGCCACGTATCGACCCGGGGACAGGGTCCAGTTCTATCACACTGCCCCGGGTTGGCCGGGTCTTGGTGCTGGAGACACAAAACATCAGACACCTTGTGTTTTTCCTCTTCTCTTGGGTTCACCCAGGCTAGAGATGATCTTTGAGGAGAGCTTTTCTCCCTGACAGTTTTTTTGTTTAACTCTGAAAAGTGCACAAGGATTAATGAGACAATTGACTACAAAGCGCTTTGATCCCTGGGGAGCCAGGAAGTGATTCAAGTGCCAGAAGTGATTCCCTTACTGAAGGCAGCCCTGGGCCTTTGAATAGAAGCCCTCTTGGAAATACCACACCGAGACTGTGCTGAAAAGTCAAACCAGTTCCAAGCAGCTGAGTGAGGCCGAGATGTCTCCCCCTGAAATGAGCTGTGAGAGGCTGGGAAAAGAATTTCAGATTGACAGTTTGAGCCAGGAAGGACCCCGACCATCCAGCCTATGACCATTGATCTGAACAAATGGGGGAACGTGGCCAGAGTGCAAAGCTGCCAGGTGAAGTGTCCTGCCCCAGGTCCCACGGTGCGCCGGGGTTACCAGAAAGCACGGGGAGCCTGGGTGCCACCCGGAGGTGCTAAGTTGGGTAAGTGGGCAGGATGTGACCCAGGCCTGAATGGGTGGCTGGCTCGGAGGAGGCACAGGGCTGAAGGAAGTAGGGTGCACATGGCTAATGCTGTGAGTTCCCAACTTTGAAGGTGGAAATATATACGGGGAGCAAGATTTCGGCACCTAATTCCATCATGTAGGCTCCACGGACCAGGCAGAACCTAGTATCTATTGATACTCTCACAGCCTCTTCTGTCACTCCAACCCTGACTTCCATCATTCTGCAAACAAACATGGTGTCTCACGTGAGGGGAGCCTTGGAACGAGTCCTAAGTTCTTGGCAAAGGAGAACAAGTAAAATCGAGAACATTATTTCCTACACCAAGGAGATAGGAAGCTAGCAAAAACAAGATCCATCATGGAGACTTATCTGTGTTCCTATCACAACTGTCCACACGCAACCAGCCTGCCTTCCTACCATCAACACGAGCCCTTGCTACTGGGTGGATCCTGAGAACGCGCAGGGGAGGGAGAAGGGCATGGTGGCTCATAGAAGGCAGAGCCTGATTCTAGCGAAGAGATGCTCATAGGAAATCTAACCGATGTCTTTATTGGGCTTCCTGTGCGTTAACTTCATGCAAGAGTTTGACACGTAGTAGCTTATTTAATCCTCACCACTGTCGGAGGTAGTAGTCTCCATGGCAACAGTCATCTCTCCTTACATCTCCTGGCTCTGTTTTCCTCTGTCTCAGCTGGATTCTTGGGGAACTCTTCAGAGTGGTTGCATTGATGATGTGCAGAGCCTACTGGAGCCCAAAGCAAGAGAACAAGTTAATCTAATCCTGATTGCCTACTGTAAAATGGTGACATATTGTCGATCGATCATGGGGTTTTTTCGTGTTAATTTTACTTTTCATTAAGAATTAAGTAATTATGGGTCTTGAATACTGGTTTTTTTTTTTATGGGGTGTGGGGTGTGGAGGTTACCCTTAGATTTTGCACCTGAGCAAATAAATGTCTCACTTTAACCAAGTTCCAGCCTTGAAGAACACCTTTAGTTGCAAAAGAGCTTTCTTGGGGGCTGGTGCTGTGGCGTAGCAGGTAAAGCTGCTGTCTGCAATGCAGGTATCCCATATGGACACCGGTTCGAGTCCCAGCTGTTCCTCTTCCAATCCAGCTCTCTGCTATGGCCTGGGAAAGCAGTAGAAGATGGCTCAAGTCCTTGGGCCCCCTGCATCTACGTGGGAGACCCAGAAGAAACTTCTGGGTTCGCATTGGCAACAGTTCCGGCTGTTGTGGCCAACTGGGGAGTGAACTAGTGGATGGAAGACCTCTCTTTCTGTCTCTGCCTCTCTGTAACTCTGCCTTTCAAATAAATAAATTTAAAAAAAAAAAAAAGCTTCCTTCATAGGAGTTCCTTCTTCAGGGGTGTCATGGCCATCCCTGGACCTATCACCTACGCTCACGAGCAATGCAGCGCTTTGATTGGCCCTGGGGCTTGGGTGGGCTCAATCCCTTCTAATCTTTGTGAGAGTTGGGGAAGACACTTGCCTGAAATAGGGATATTCGTCTGATTGACTGATTGAGGGTGGTATGTGTGTGTGTTTGTAGGAGGTGGAGTCTGCACTCAGGAGCAAAGAAGGAGAAAGTGGGAAAATGACAGTTTCAGGTTTCAGTCGGTGGCCTGGTTAAGCAGCTCTCCCGGGCTGAGGTCACTGGAGAATAGCACAGCTGTGAGTTATTATCAGCCAAGGTGCACAGCGGCCAGGGATGGCAGCACAGGCCAGCAGAGGAGTCTGGCCAGGGCACCTGCAGTGCCATAGAAAGTGGGTGCAGGTCAGGTGTTGCCAGGCATCTCCTGTCCTTATCCTTTGCAAAGGGAACAGAATGTACTCTTCCTTAATGACATCCATTCCAACAAAAAGAGCTGGAATAGACTCATGCATTCACATAGCTGGTCAGGGCCTGTGCTGACTTCCTGCTGTGCGGCTCCTAGGGAAAAGATTTTAGCAGCGAGCAGGTGGTGCTGCTCATCTGAGCGCCCCACCCTGCTTTCATACGATCCACTTGAGCCACAGGCGGGCCCTGGCCAGGCCCAGCGCAACGTTCTGACGCAGAGAAGCCACTAGTGGAGACGCTGTGGCATTTGGAGGTTGCTTTTACCAAGCACGTTACTGGTGGAGGGAAGTCGAATCAGGAGGCATGCGGAGCGCCCCGTTGTCAGCTGCGGGCTGTGCTGTAGAGGCTGCACCTCTGCTGGGGCCGGGGGCCGTCACCCTTCCATTAGCTACAATTGGATGCCTAGAGAGGCAGTAATTACAAATCCCAGCCGGGCTTCACAGGCTCATCTGTCTTTGTTTATCATCAGGGCCGGGGTATTGATCATTGCCAGGAGCCCCCTTGCTTTGGCTCGGGACCGGGAAATTGGATTAATGAGGTCTGGCATGTGTGGTGGAACACACGCCTGTGTGGAAGGCAGACGAGCGGGACTGAGCAGTGGCGAGCCCTGGGTTTCCTGGGGGCTCCCGTGCGTGCTGGCCCTGCAGGATTTCCGTCATCCTGGGATTCTGGCGTTTGTTGGTGCCAACAGAACCTGTGTGTGCAAAGCAAACCGAGACCCTTTTGTTTCTGCAGGTACCCTCGAAGGAATGGCCTGTCTGGCAACCGCTCCTTCCAGAAGGGGGCGCTGTGTTTGATAGGAGTTGGCTACTGAGTGCACACAGGGGCTGGAACCCCAGCGTGCTGAACTAACGGTGCTGAGTGCAGAACCTTGATCTAATAATAGTGATTAGAGGTGGGCCCGGGGCGGCAGTCCTGAGGTCATGGGGCCGTGCCCTGGGAAGGTAGTGAGAGCTGGGAGCGGACTGGCTATAAAAGCGGGGTCAGGCCCTTCCTCCTTCCCTGCTGGCCCTGTGCGTCTCCTCTCCTGGCGCTCCAGGCTCTATTTAGCCATGTGCTGTTTGGCAGCGCTACGGGACCCTGCCAGCAAGAACGCTACTGCCAGACAATGACCCAGTGGAGCTGCTCAATCCTGAGAGTGGGAACCTCCAAATCCATGAGCTGGCGTAAGCCTTCCTGCTCCTAAGTGGTTTGTCTTAGGTGTTCTTATTAACAACAAGCTGAGTAGTACAGGTGGTAAGTGAAGGAAAGTGTTATGCATTTCGTTGGCTTTTGCTGTAGAAACTTTTGGGGTAGCAAGAGAGCTGGTTGAGGGGAGGTGTCTGTAGCTCAAGGAAGACAATGAGATGGTGGAACCACAGCCAGCTTCCTCTACACCTGCTGGGAGCCTTGTCAGGAACAGGTGCTGGCTCCAGCCCAGCGTTTCCACTTCGGCTGCCCCTGCCAGCCGGGTGCAGGCTGGGGAGTGCGTGTGTGAGTTCCGAGGTGCTGATCATGCAGATGAACTCCTCCAGACAAGTGAGGAAGATGGGGGTGGGAGTGGGGGGATGGATTCTGTGGGAGTGGGGTCCCTGGACCCCAGGGTTGGACCTCGTTGGATCCTGAGCTGTTCGAAGGAACTGTGATAAAAAGTGAGGCCAATGGGGACACTTGAGAGCTGACCAGTGAATGGTCAGCTGCCGTCACCATCCTCACTCTCCACGTGGCTTGGCTCCCTCTCAACTTCTCATTCTCAGTTGAAGCGTCGTCTTTGCAAACCCGTTTGCTTTGACCACCTTGCATTTAATATCTGCTGATCTATCATGTGGAACTGAGCAGGGGTCCAAGTAATTTTTTTTTTTTTTTTGCTTTTAGTGCTTTCCCAGGAGACTGCATACTTGTGCCCCCCTGAGCCTTGTCACTTCCCTGGTTACCAGGGACACCACCAGTAACCAAACATGGGCAATTCATGAATGTCCTCGTATTTTGCTAATTTGGAGGAGTGATCAAACACGTTGAGTGATTTGTTCAAGGTGATAGATGGTGCTGAATCGCAGGGCTCAGCAGTTTTTATTCAGAGGCGTCTGAGTGTCTAAAAGGAGTTAATCTAACAGGTGCACAATCACTGGGTGATCTTGGTGGGAGAGAGGGCGCCGGGTTTGTTGCACTTCGGGTGAGAGAAAGGATATGCGATCGACGGGACGGGGAGAAGTAGCGACTCCTGGAGCAGCTGTTGGGCCCTCCCAGCTTGAAGATCTCTGGGACAGGTGGCTGACTTCAATGGGGTCAGGTTGGCAGCTCATGGCCGTCAGCATCCCCGCCCCATCATCTCCATCTCTCAGTCATCTCTCGCCTTAGCTCTCTCTCTCTCTCCCATCTCTGTGTCTATCATCTGCAACTCTCTGAGCCTCGTGGCTCCCTTCAGCTTCTGCCACATTGTTCGCTGCTCCACCGACCATGAAATTTTAAGATTGTTTGCAAATGATGCTTTTCATCTCTCAGCCCCTGGATGTCCCTGCATCCCCAACCGCAACTTGGCTTCTTGTCCCAGGACTAACTGCAAGTGGCCGTGAGTCCCTGGTGGGCAGCTGCCCCACCTTGGCCGTAGGTGGAAAGGCAGGTGGGTGCCAGGTGGTGTGGGTGGGTGCTCAGATGCTCTCTGGAGATGGACCCTTTCCCAAGTCCCTGATGGAGACTTCATTGCGCTAACAGAACCCTGCACAGGAGGCACGTGTCTGATATGCCCACCTGTCCTGGGTTCCTGGTGCACTGCGGACTCTGGTGGACAATCCTTGGGTCCTAGAAGCACCCAGTGTTAGCCGACATTGTGCCAGAATGCCGCAGTTCTTTATGGATTCTGCAGAACACGGGTGGGCGTGATGAACTTCACTATGGGGATGCGGAAGTGTAAAATGCCCTCAGGACTCCCAGGAGCTCCGCCCATGAGCCTCTGCTTCCTGAGGAAGGTTTCCATGGCAGGTCTGCGTTTCTGTGCTCACAGGGGCTGGCTCTGAATCCCACGTCACGCACGTCCAGGGGTTAGTGAGGGCTCTGAGTGCTGGACATCAGGTCAGACAAGCCTGTTGCATAAAAGAGACCAACCCCTATTGCCCAACAAATGGGGCTGTGGATATTGTATCTAGAGGAGATAGCGTTTCTAGACTGTCCGTATCGGCTCTCTCTTGCAAGCACAGTTCACCCCAGAGGGGCTGCATGATCGGGAATGGTCCCAGCACAACGTCTGTTGTCGGTGCCTGAGACAGAGGGGCATGGCCATGCCTCTCGGAGCTCTGACAACAGGTCACTCCAGATCCCACCCAATGGCTGCGCTATAACATCGCAGAGAAGGCTGGGACAAACACTGCCTGAGGCTGCAGGCCACCTGGGTCCATCTCGGGCCAGGTTCTCCTTTGTGCAGAATAGCTCAATTGAACAAGTACCCTCTTGACTCTTGCTGTCCTGTGGCCAGTTACAGGAAACGAGGGATGGAAGCAACACTCGTGGCGGCACAGGGAGCATAGGATGCCCTTGGAGGGCTGAAGGTGTCGGCTCCAAGCTGTTGGGCCTGCTCCAAGGTGATGGCCGTCTGACAGCCCTGCCCTCCAAGAGGCACTGCCACACCTGCCTCACTGGAGCCACGCCCCCTTCCCGTGGCAGCCCGTACATAACAGTCGGCCTCCAGACTTCACCCTGCAGGGCCGTGCCAGCTTCACCCGGTCCCAGAGCTCTGACGAGCTGTCCGTGAGGACTTCGCAGCAGCTGGCTTGCCTCCCTCTGCCCCGTACTTGGTTGCGATCTTTAAAAAATCCTTCTCAGTGGTGTGCGGGGTTGCAAAGCTCTGTCTCGGTGTGTGCTCCCTGGCGAGCACATCCCCAGATGACTGGCTCCGGAGGGGCCCTGTGACAGAGGAGCTCAGAGTGTAGAGGTTTAGAAATAGCTCTGTGCATCAGTGGCTGGAATCCATCACCCCGCAGCTGTGCTGCAATCCAAACAGGAGCCAGTGCGGTGAGAACACTGGAGACGCAGAAGCAATGACACCTTCCCATGAAGGCAAGAACTGAGCCCTGCCCTAGGTGGGGGCGGGGTCGTGGGATAACCACCACCCTGCGGAGACAGGACGAGAGAAGCCCCCAGCAAGCCAGCTCCTCGCCACTGCTTTGTTAGTGTAATGCCTCGATTTCACGGCAGGTGGCGCCTCTGCTCGCAGCAACTCCCAAGTAGACACCAGGTCTACCTCGGCGCTGGGAGGCCGTCTCTAGCAATAGATGACATCATTAAACCTTTAATTATCCGGTGGCTTTGACTGCAGAAAATCAATGCAGGCTTCTCGCTCGTAGGAGACTGCAGAGTTACCATGTTTCTGAGCGAATGTTTACCTTTCTCTTTCCCCCCATTTTAGCGCATCGTTTCTTTGGTGCACTTCTATCAGCCTGATGTTCTTCTGAAAGTTTAAGACTGGAAACTTTGTTTTTACTGAAAATATGGTAACTACATGTGGAAAGAGATCATTTAGAAAAAAAGACTTAGAGATGAAATACACAAGCGTCACAGGAAGTTAGACGCTCAGGGCTTTGATTTTTTAAAAAAGTTATTTGCATGCCTGTGGGGTGTAAAAGCACTTTTACATGGATATAGTTCAGTTCGCGTTTGTCTCCTTGAGAGACAGGGTGGTCTGGGTGGATTATCCATTTCTGCAGGTGTTCCCCACGCAGCACCTTATGAGGCCTGGAAGGAGAGCTCCCCTCTGGCATCCGATTTATTGACACTGGCCTGTTGATGGCTTAGCTCTTACTTCGCAATTCTGCTCGCTGTTGCTGGGAACAGACTCATCTCTGGGTGTGTGTGTGTGTGTGTGTGTGTACCAGAGAGCAGTCCCCAGCACCGAGTTAAACCTGCCCCCACTAGGGGGCGCCTCCTCACTCTTTCCATCCCCATTGGTGGGCAGGGGTTTGGTGGGTATCTCAGGGGTCTGGCCATCACACACGTGCCTGCCTTTGGTTCCCGCCTTCCATGTAGCTTTCTGATTCCAGCCCTGAAAGTGCGGGAGGAACAGAGTCAGGGTTTATTCTAGGACAAAGGTGTTCCGGCTTGGCCTGGCAGAAATCCAGCAGAGTGGGTGTTGACGGTGTCATTGGAAGCCGTCACGGACCCCACAGACAGTGGGTCTCCAGCTGTTTTTCCTCGGGCCAGGGAGACTCGAAGGGCAACAGAGACCAGAGGAGGAGAGTGGGGCCGTCCCTCCTTGCCTGCTTTCTGGACTGCTGGAGTCTCAGGCCACCTCTGTAGCATCACCCCAGCATTCTGACCTCAGTGTCGCGAGGGTGAGGGTTTGCACGTGCGAACTGTGGCGTGATGCTTTTGTAACAAGAGCAGCCTTGACTCGGTAAGAGGACGCGGGATAGAACTGGGGGCACCTCCGTGATAATGATCGGCTTTTGTTCCAGAACGCGTGGCAGCAGAGGGTGGAGTGATCCAGCTGGGCGTGCTTCCTGCCTTGTTACGTGGCTGAATCCTGGGAGTGGCAGGTGCGCGACTCCGGCCCATGAGCACGAGGGCTCGGCTGCATTGTCGTCATTTTCACGGGTGGAGAGGAGATGCGGCAGCCGGCATTGGTCCCTCCCATGGGGAGCAGGGCTTCTCGCTGTCCGGCTGGCGAGCCAAGGGCAGGGCCGCCGTGCGGGAGGGGTGGCAGTGGACGGCACTGGTTCTCAACACTGAATGGAGCTGAGGTGTTGAAGTGACTTCCGGATGATGCTTTGGTTGTTGGACATTTTCTTCAGCAGTCCCCTCAGCCCGAGCTGGACCTTGGCGATGATGGCTCTGCTGGGGTCACAACAGTGGGGCTGCAGATGTCATGCCTGAGGGTTTGTATGTCGGCTCCTTAAAGCCTGAGTCGTGCCTCTGCTGTGTGTGTGTGTGTGCATGCGTGTGCGTGTGTGTCACACAGGGTAATGGCAGCACCTGGCGATGGAGAAAACAGAACCGGGACAGCCAAGCCCTGAGGCCGTCGGTTGGGGGAAGCTGATTTCATCTTGTTGCTTTCAGGGGCACTCTGTTATTCCCAGTGATGAATTCTGGGCTCCATGGCGGATGCTGCTGGCATCTGTAGGCATGGTGTTCACTCATGCTTCCGAGAGGAACTGGTCCACGTGCTAAGATCAGAATACCGAGTAGAATTAATCCAGGGAGAGGAGAAGGGTAAGAGGAGAGGAGACAGCACTAAGCAGGCTGAGTTAGAGACGGAGATACAGAGAGAGGGACAGAGAGACCCTCCATCCGCTGGTTCACTCCCCAAATGACCGCAGTAGCTAGGGCTGGGTCTGGCCAAAGCCAGGAGCCTGGAGCTTCTTCTGGGTCTCCCCTGTGGGGAGGACTTGGACCATCTTGCACTGCTTGACCAGGTGCATTAGCAGGGAGCTGGAGTGGAATTGGAGCAGCCGGGACTAGAACCAGTGCCCATGTGGGATGCCGGCACTACAGGTGGAGGGTTAACCTACTGCGCCACAGTGCTGGCCCCAGTGAACTGCATCTTAGGGGACCTTCCCGCCCCTCCTCTGTGGCAGAGGCAGGGAGCTGCTCCCAGCTTGCACTGGACCCTTCTGCATTAACAGAACGTAGGGAGACTTGGCTGAGTCCCTGGCCCTCTGGGATCCTGGCCGCATTTCCCACCTTCCTTGCAGGGGGAATGGATCCTCTGACTTGAGAGTGCTCTGGAGTGCAGTGGGCCTGCTGAGAGCAGTTTCTAGTGTTCCTTTTCCTTGCAGGCTTCTCCCTGCTGCGTCATGAAGTCGGACCCTTTGAGGATTACCCAGCAGGAAGCAGTATTCTGGATCTCCAGGGGAGAGCAGTCGGCTCTTCCTTGCACCTCCTGCCTTACATTTGAGAGAGATAACTGTGTCAAAAACATGTGCACCTGCTGCATGGACAACAGTTAGATTCCTGACTGTTGTTCATGAACTGGTCTTGTCCACTTGGCAATGAGCTAATGGGACGTCGGGGACAGGGGTGTGGTCCCTGGGGTGATCCCTCTTGGGTCACCTGGAGTTTTGTTGCAAACCTTGGCGGCGCCTGTCTCCACTGCCTTTGTTGGTTTTGGATAAAGGAAATGAGGCAGCTGGGGGTGCGGTGGTGTTTGAGCATGCTAGGTGAACGGGGGTCAGTTACCAACCGGGGGGGGGGGGCGCGTGAGGGTGCAGGGGTGCTGGGCATCTGACTGCTAGTGTTAGAATTTTTTAAAAAATCCTTTTATGTTAGCAGGGTTTATTATTAGCAGAAAGAAATTGATAGTGTGGAGTTCTTTTCTACCCCAACTCAGGTTTCTTTCTAACGAATGATGTGAGTGTGGAGCCTTGGGTGTAAGAGTTGGGTCCCAGTTGACTGAGTTTTGATAAAACCCATACTTGAAGCTCACTGTAGTGTGTGCCCCAGGCCCCCTCCGCCTTGCAGGAGCCCTGCCAGGGTGCACACAGCACCGAGTCACTGTCTCCCCAGCATCCTCTCGGCTGTGATGGTTTCCTTGTTGCTAGTGAAGCTGACAGCTTTGGAGAGTGGAGGCAAAGGAGTCTGTGCTCCTTGTGACACAGTGTGGACATGGAGGAAGGTCAGAGTTCAGGTAAGACTTGGAAGGACCCTTCGAGTGGCCCTGGAACCTTCTGTCCTCCAGCTCAGACCTGTGGGCTCCATGGCATTTGTGGCCATACCTCCTGTGTTCCAGCAGAACCATGCTGGCGCCATACCGTACCGGGTGCAGGCTTCCCCGGTGCCGATATTCCAGCTCGCTCTCCTGAGGAGGTACCAGACGTAGGTCAGTGCAGGCATCACCCCGCCTTCCGCATGGGCAGAAACGCTGCGATTGGTCACGTGTGCTGCTCTAACTTGCTGCTCTGCCTTGATGCACGACTGGCAGCTCTTCGGGACTGCCTGGCAGTGAGAGGCTGTCTGTCTGTCTGTCTGCAGCCCGGCGTGGGTGGCAGGGGAAGCGCAGGGCGTCTGCTTCCCCGAGGGCTGTAAACAGTAATTAAATAGACGTTTGCATCCAGATTCTGCTGTTTTATTTCCTTCTTTGCAAACACACGCAGGAGTTGCAGCTCTGGGTAATAAATGGCAAGAATCATAGCACTCTGCCTTTAAAGCAAATGAGCTCAATGAGAGGATACAATTCTTGCAATTACAATTTTACTGTTGGGCATCTATTCACCATAGAGTAAGAAAACAAGGAGGCACGGCTTTGTGGGATGCTGAGAGCTGGGAGCTCATAAAAAAAAAGCTTTGCGCAGCCATTGGCATTCTGACCTGTCTGTGCCTGTGTCTGGTTCTGTGGCTCTCAGTAAAGCCCTGGGGCCCTCTGCTGACAGTGAGTAAGTGCAGTAGGTGATGGCCGGGGTACAGTATGTGACCATAACAGATTCTTAACACAGATCCCAGTCCTTGTGCAAAACGAGAGAATTGTTGTCCGTCTTGTAGTGACTTCATTCTGCCACCAGGGGGCATCCAAGAACACCTCAACCTAGTAGCTCTGTGGGGAAATCTAATTTCCGTAAATTGAACCATTCTTTCCTGCTGACGTAACTCCCCAAGATGTGTTCCCTCGGGAAAACTGTGACTGCCCAAGTAAAAACAAAAAGCAAAAAAAGATGCTGAAAGGATGTAGGCGGTTTGAGTAGCAGGATTTAAAGGGAACATCCTTAATAAGTCTTGGATGCTCATTCACCTTCTAGCTAATGGAGTTGATGATATGGGATCAGTTTTATGAATGTGTGCAGAGAAGTTTGGCTTCTTTTGGCTAGGAATTTCTTATGCCTTGATTTTTGAGCAAATCAGGAGTGGTTTCCTTGTAATATCTCCTCCATCTGCCACAGGCATCTGCTCCTTCGCCCCACTGTTTAGCTTGGGGAAAGTGTGGGCTGTGCAGAGAATCTCAGAGTGACAGCAGCAGAGGAACCCTCGGAGGTCTGTGAGTCCAGACCTTTCCTTGTACCGATGAGGAAGCCCAAGTGAGACAGATGAAGCCACTCAAGGAATTGGATTGGGTCGACAGTACCACCCCTGGATATTCTCAGAGCTAGACATGAGGGGTGGCACGGTCCTCTGGATCAACTAACGAAGCGTGTTCATTGTGGTATGGGTCATTCAGTGCAATAAAGCGAAGTGTGGTATGTAAGCCCTTGGCAGGAGGACCAGGGAGTCTTCATCCGGAGGCCTGTGATGCTTACAAGATGAGCTAGAACAATGGCTGTAAGTTCGTAAGTGCAGACAGAATCCATTATAGGTGGATGGAAAGATTGTAAGGAGAAAATAACAGTTATGGGACAGCCCAGAGCTGAATGTGGACAGTGCCTGGCTAACACTTGGCAGTGGCAACATTGGCTCTTCCTTCCCATGAGAGCTACTCCATGAGTAACCGGGTCCCATTGAAGGGGCACACGGGATTTCCCACCTCTGGGCTCTGAAGACCTGCTTCTCAGGTGTGTGCATCTCGGCCTCCTGCTGAGCCGTGTGCTCTGATGGCTGCTTTTCTAGATTAGACGGATTCTTTGTGTTTATGGTGTTGCCCAGAGCGAACATAACAAAAGCAGACCGGAAGGAATTGCTCTTTGAACCCCAAGGGTCCCTGTCTGTGAGGGAATCAGCTGAAATGGGGCCCAGTTTGTAGTGGCTTCGGAGACCAGGGTCCAGCCAACATTGACCTCTCTCTGTGCTTACCTGCAGGTGGGTACAACGTGCAGTCTTCAGGATGCAGCAGGAGGAGGAAGTCCCATGCTGGGCTCTGATGCAGGGCGGTGAGGCCGCATCGCTGTGGTCCTTGGGTGGTTACACGGTTCCCTGTGCAGAGTTAAAGCTGACACTGATCCAGGTGACCCCTGTGTCCTTCCTCACTGGCCAGGCTGCTCCTGTAAATCTGTCCGTTTCTCATTGTTGGGGAGTGGGATGGGGAATGAAGTCAGCTACTCAAGTCCATTTTGCTGCAAATGACGGGATTTCATTCTTATTTATGGCTGGATAATAGTCACACACATACATGTATGTATACATGCATACATGAATACATGCAGGCATACTTACACATGAATGCACACAATTTCTTTATCCTCTCGTGTAACAGTGGACATACTGGTTGATTCCATGTCTGTCTCGCTCTCCTCATTTGTCAGTGGGCTGTGGTAGCTTTCTGACACAGGGTTGTTCTTTGCTCTGTGTGTGTCCACTCTGTTGGTGAGTTTTGTACGTGCAGTGTTGTTATGATTACCTCTGACGTAGGGCTCTCTCAAGGATATCTTGTAGGGCTGCTCCAGGGATGATGGTTTCTCTCCGTTTTTGTTTGGGAAGTGATTTATTTATTCTTCACTCCTAAAGGCTGGCTTTGCTGGGTGTAGTATTCTGGGTAAGAATTTTGTTTCCATGATGACCACACACTCTACCATCCCATTCTCTCCTGGCCTGTAGGACATCTGCTGAGAAGTCTGCTGCTAGGGTAATGGGTTTTACTTTATACTCAACCGAATATTTTTCTCTTGTTTTCTTGAGGATTCTCTCCTTGTGCTTAACATTTGTCAACTTGACTATAGTACGCTTTGGAGAAGGTCTTTTTGGTTGAGTCTGGTTGCAGTATTTTGAGCTTCCCGTTACTGGATGTCCATATCTCTTTCAAGACTCACAGAGTTTTCAACTATGACTTCATTAAATGGGTTCTCAGTGCGATTTTCCTTTAGCTTTCATTTTAACATGAATGTTTGTTAGGTTAATGGTATCCCCTATGTTTGCTAGAATTTATTCATTCTTTTAATTATTTTCTCTTTGGTTTTGTCGGACAAATTTATTTAAAAAGTTTTGTCCAAATATCAGAATTTTTTTCGTACTTGATCTGTTGTTGAGGTTCTCAAGTATATATTTTAAATTTCTTTTAATTTTTCAGCTGCAGAGTTTCTGATAGTGTCTTTTTAATGAATTCTATCTTCTGGCTGAATTTCTCATTTGTATCATACATTGTACTTTGAATTTTTTTTTTTTTTGAAGTGTCTGCCTGTGTTCTCTTGTATCTCCTTGAATTTCCTTAGGATCATTATCTTGAATTCCATAGATTGAATTGAATTCAAGTCCTAATTTGGAACAGCTAATACGTTCTCTTGAGGGTCTCATGCTCCCTGCTTCTTTGTTTCCTGTGTCCTTATACTGACACGTGTGACAGTTCCTGGTGCTTCATTTTGTAGCCTTCTTTGGAAAAGACTTCTATTGAGATAGAATACAATGGGTCAGTGAGTAGTCACTTTGGCTTTGGTTCTAGTTGATTCTAGAAGAGTTAACTCTGATTTCTTTGCTGCAGTCGGTGTCAGCCCTGTCTAAATGTCACATTTGTCCACGTTTGTCTAGTCGGCAACAGTGCACACAGGTATTAGCCTGATGCTAAGGTAGGCATGGGCTTCGTAAGGTGTGTGCCTTCAGGTCCCAGGGTTGGGTGCCGATGACACAGCCATGTTTCTGGTGCTTTGGAGAGGGACTGTCCCCCTTTGCCCACAGGACGTGCAAGGGTGACAGCAGGGCTAGTGCCCTGGCCATCTCAGAGCTGAGAAGTGACTTGGTCAGCGTTGGTCCTCTGGGCTTGTGTATTGGCCACAGCTAGTGGTGAGTTCCAGTAACTGGTGAGGGAATGGCCTTGGTAACGCAGAGGGAGCGAGCATGGCGCTGGTGCCCGTGCCCAGCCATACCACGGTTGTGGGATGAGAAGCCTGCTCTGTGCCCAGTGGAGTACCTGGCTCCAGCTCTGGAGGCTTCGGCTAGCCACACGGCTGCTGGCTGTCCTCCTAAGACACAACGGGTTTCAGAACATGGCGGTACCGCGGCGGCTCAGGCCTGGGGCTTTGGGTGGGACACAGTCTGGGCTCTATTTATGGAGCAAAGCAGACTTACAGAGCTCAGATTTCTGGACTGGATTGGCAGCCAGTAATGATGGCGGGCCTCTCCTGTGTTGCAGGCTGCAGGTCTGCGGCAGTGGGGGAGCTTGGAGAGTTCTCTGTTCCCAGCAGGCTGGCGTCCTGCAGGGTGGGGGCGTAGGAGCTGCAGTGCGCTTTCGTCCTCTCTGCTGCCTGCTGAGTCTCCGAGCTCTTGAGAGTTCCAGTCACTTCCTACTGGAGTTTTTCCTCCATCCGTTGCCTGGAAACCTGGTCCTGCCTTACCTTACTGTGTCTGTAGCAGAGAGGAGCGAAGGACCCCTCTGTGCGGCTACCTTGGGTCTCTCCCACCTGCTTGCTTTTTGAGAATAAATTTTTCTCGGTGGTAAAGTGTGCCCTTGTCACAGTGTATCTGTAGATCGGATCAGCACCTTACCTAGTGAACCTGTGTCTGGGGCTGTTTGCCTAAGGAGATAAAGGATGCATTGGAAAGTGCTAGGGAGGGTCTCAGGTTTAAAACAGTTCCCACCGGAGGAGACGTGGACTTGATCCAGGGATGGCGGAGGTGTGGCCGGAGCTGGCCTCAAAAGGAAATGTGTGTGTGTGTTCAAGGGACTTGTGAGTCTCAAATTTACCTTCGCCCAGGACAGCTTCGTGGTGTGCACGTCAATTTTCTGTGCTACTTGAACCAACTCTGAATCTTCAACTCAGCTTTGTGCTGCTTAAAACGAAACTTTGTAGCTTCTAACAGTAAATTAGACCTGTGGCCCCCAACCTGATACTCTCAGGAAGGTGCCAGTAATGAGGTAAAGGTTTCATCACAGCTGGAGTTGACAGTCTTATCTGGCTGTGAAGTGCACGATCCTACATTCCCACATTCATCCCTTTGGATGGGGAGAATGTTAGAGTCCCGGGTGTGTGTGTGTGTGTGTGTGTGTACGCCTGAGTGTGCGCAGTGCGAGAGAAAACGGATGTTGCTCATGTATTGAAATTCCTTCTCCATCCTTCAGTTTGGCCCAGAGAACTTTGTGGGGACCTCAGAGTTCCATCTCTTTAGCGGCCCTGTGTGTCCACTCAGAAACATGCATGTATGTTTGGGGAGGGTTTCGGCTTTCTCAGAAGATCTAGAAAATCCCTTCACATTTAACAAGAG